TATATATATATATATATATATATATATATATATATATATATATATATATATATATATATATATATATATATATGAGAAACACGGTAGTTGATGTGAGATAATTTGATCTTATACGAAATAGAAGTCGATGACAATATATTTCATGCGGGAGTGGAACATTGGATTGATGCATGGGTTGATTGATAATCATAATGTATCTTTCTTCTTTCTTTCGTTCTTTCATTTGTTTTCATTATCCACCCCCCTAAAAGAGGGAATGCCCCTAATAACTATAGTACGGAATTATTAATCACATTTGTTTTCATTACTCGTAAGCATCTCTAATAATTTTTTAAAAAATAATTTTTATTACTCATTCAAGTTTAGAATATATATTAAAATTTTTACGGGATAAACTAATTGATTGCTTATTCATGAGATGCGGTGGAGGTGAATATTTTTGTCGCAAAAGAATTAATGGGCATCTGAAAAGGTGAAAGTGATGGGCTTAATGCGGTGGCCGTATGTACTGTTGTGACTTAGTTGAAAGCTACAGGAGATGGGATTAAACCCTTATAAGGGCACTCAAATTATTGAGGAACCAAAGAGTGGCAGCCTCTCATAGTACACTCCACCTGAATCCAAGACAAAATGCCTTTACGTCAATAATCTTATAGCTTATAGATTTATATATATTGATAAGATCATTTAGTCTCTCTTTTCTTTTAAGATATTTTTTGAAACTTATATGTTCCGAAAGCTGGAGGAAGGACTAAGGTCTACACCTCGATGAAGCAAACTTGCTTCCGAATTTGTATGTGTTGTGTCATAGCGATGCCAATCTCTACTCTCTCAATCTTAATGTAATCTTGTTGTAATTACATTAAGTCCAAATAAGATCACTATCTCTACTCTTTAGCTTACACTTTGTTATTATTTTATTTTATGCTAATCTTCTTCTTATTTAGGTTGGTGGACGGTACAATATTTATTTTGTAATTTTAATATATATATATATATATTATTTATTTAAAAAAATTAAGTAATTTTATATATTTTAAGAACGAAGTAATTGGATTGGATGACCGAATGACTTGAGGTTCTGATCGAATTATTTTTCCAATATCACCTATAATTTAATAATTATGAATAAATACATATCAAAATGATAAGAGGGATTTAATATAAATAAAATAATATTTATGATTTATTATGTGGTGTGTTGGGGAAAAAAGGGGTAGTGGGGACGAATCATATTGGCTTCCAAAGGGTTGGGCGGTGGTCCAAACTGTGTTGGGTGGTGGTGGTGGTGGTGGTGGAGGGGTACGGAGGCGGTCAACGGGCGATGACCGATCGCAGGTGGAAGGGGGGACACGTCATGGGGGAAATCGTCCTACGTGGTCTGCCTGCCTACCTGTCAGGCACTTAGTCTCTGACACACCCTCGATGTCCGATCCCTCCCTGTCTCCTTCTCTCTCGTCTTCTCCTCCCATTTATTATTTCCCTGCCTCTGTGCCTTCGTCCCACGCTCTCCCCTTTTGCATGAACGACATCCCAATACCCGGGCAATTCGACGCACTCTCATCTCCACCCCACTCTCTCTTTCTCTCTCTCCAGAAACAACGGTATTCGTTCGGATCAGGGCGATGGAGGGGCGCCATAGTACAGCCACGAGGAAGCTAAGCCGGTGGATTAACGCTGCCACTGACCCTCATCAGGTAGGCTTGAGGTCCCCAACAGCGTTGATGAAGCTTGGTGTCATGTCTTTTCCTTGTTCGCATTTGGAAGGATGGGTTTCGCCTCTGTTCTGCCATCCACTGCATGATCAAACTCGTTGGTACAGACAGTCTTCTTCTGCTGCCTCCTGCAGTCAATTTTTTTTGGATGCGCAGATGCTCGCGCAGCAGGAGGAGGAGGAGGAGGAGGAGGAGGACCACAAGTGTAGTGTTCCATGATCGATGTGTTACCGCATTGTTATCGGCGTGGGTTTGGAGGGTCTCGGAATTCCAAGGACCGACGCGTTGCCCGGTGCGGGTTGGGGGGCATCGGGCGGATCCACTTCCTTAATCCGAGCACAGAGTGGAGGAGCGAATCCTACTACCGATACCACTCGATGAATGGTTTCTCTGCGTGAACAGTAGCCAGTCAAAGCACCGCCACGGGAATGCCTCCGCCGCTCGCGTTCGTAGCAGACGGGTGTGGGCGCCACCAGCGTGCGCCCTGTGGCGTCCCTGCACTTGGCCTCCCTCCCCTTCTTTTCCTTCGTTGATGAGCATAAAATAATGGCATGGTGAGGGGATATCTGTGACAGGGACAAGCAAACACAGACAGGCATGTGGAGAAGAGAAAGATCACGTACGCCAGTTGAGAAGAGATGCTTAACTGTAATAAATGAGAAGTAACAACAACAACCACAACAACAACATCATCATCATCATCATCAATGTCTCGAATACACTCAGATATATGCGCTACCATCCCAAGCTTAATCTCAAAGGTATCAGAGAGAGAAAGAGAGAGAGAGAGAATACATGGCTGCAAGACTCGGGATGGGATTGGCCGACTCGACCGGTATGGTTTTCTGGAGTCTTCTTTCTAGTTGCAGGATAGGTGCAGCACAGATTGGCTCAGTTGAAGGCCAGTCTCGTCGCCGCCGCTACCGTCGTCCCCTCGGCGGCCCATGCCTAGGCCAACCTCCTCGTCATCATTACTGTCGTCGTCGTCGTCGTCGTCGTCGTCTCCGCCGTCGGGGTTGTCGGATGGCGCGTGGGTGGAGGTGGTGGTGGAGGACGCCCCGCCGCTGTCCGCTGCCTGCTGCGACGCAGTCTCGTCGGTGAGGCTGGTGCACCCGGACTGCGCCCGGGCGAGGTCCACCATACGCTGCTCGCGCCCGACCACGACCGGGACGGGCTCCGTGAGCCGCCGCCCGTCGCGGGGCGGCGAGAAGACCACCGGCATGTACTCGTCGTTGTCGCACGCGAACTTGGAGTTCCTGAAGTGCTCCTTGAGCGCCTCCAATCCCTTGAAAGAGAAATCAACCAAGTCAGGCAAAGAATTCCAGGCCAAATCCATGAAGAAACGTCGAGAGCTGCCACCACCTGCAACCGAGCGTAGGTAACCTGGCAGATCTTGCGCGAGTTGAAGACTTCCCACGGCTGCAGGTGGAAGGCCTTGTAGAGCCTGAACGCGGCCTCCGGCGACGTCAGGTTCACGAATCCATAGCCAACATTGCACTTGTTGCTTCACAACGTCAACCAAAGACGAACTCATGAGCTAATGCTACTACAACGTCTACATTACAAGAAGATGCAATAGAACTAGAGAAAGCACAGCTCAAATCAAAGAATCAGTCATGTCATGTTCCTATGTTCTCGCTTGCAATGCAACTTTTCATTATTTTTTGTGTCCAAAGCTGCTTTCCCCCTCCCCACCCCGTTGATATCCGATGTGAGAGGAAAAGCGAACCAGTTGACAGGATGATCATGGAAACACAAACATCTGTGGATCTTTGGGTGTATAATACTAATAAAGAAATCATATAATGCTTCTGCTGTCGTAGTCCTTAATTATCAATGTCTCTGAAGGCCTCCTGCCAACATGAGCTCTGATGGGTCTTTTCCAACCTACTTGCTGTGAAATCACAAATGAGCAGTAGGGTTCGCTGCCCATATTCTATGCCTCGGAAAGTTTCCTTTCTGATTAGGGTTTGATGGGGTTCATTCTCCTTTCACGGTTGTGGTGGGCAAAGGATTTCCTGGCGTTCTTCTTCTTTATTCTATCTTTCCCCGGCCTCGCTACAGCGGGGAAGGGAAGGGAAGGGAGGGAGAGAGAAAGGATCCGTCTTTATGTGCCAGGCAGCGACTTCATTGCCATTTGGGCTCTCTACAGCCATTTGCTGAGCAGCCAAAGGTGCAGGGTACGGAAGGTAGGAGAAGCACAGCTCATGAAGCAGCTGCAGCGGCCGGCAGGGATCCCTCCCTTTTTTTTCTCTCTCCCCCTCCTCCCCCGTCCTCCTTCCTCCGCCGCCTCCTATTACTACCCTTCTCGGGCTTGTTTCTGTGAATCTCCCATGTATGTTACCACTCTCGGCAAAAACATCTGCTATCATCTCATTTGTGGTGCTGCTTCTTTCACTCGAAGGTGAAAGAAACAAACAACTTTATCATCAAGGTCTCTACAGAATCCACTATCTCTGAGTTTTCTCAAGGTTGGATGTCTTACTTGAAGTCGATAGGCAGGTAGACGAAGTCGTAGGCGGAGTAGGGCTCGTCTGCTCCCTCGCCGAGCTGCTCATTGCACTGAATGCAGTGGTTGTCCAACATGTTCAACAGCAGCTTCTGACTGCACCACCAAGAGATAGAGAGAGAAAGAGAGGGATTGAAGCAAGTAAAGGAGACGAATGCATCCAATTAACCGACGGAGAGATCATATGTATCAAGAGACACCGACATCTGGATAAGATACTTTGAGAGGGGGGGGGGGGGGGGGGGGGGGGGGGGGGG